CCTGCCCCCTCATATTCCTTGATAGTTTCCTGACATTTATTGATATTCCATATGAGACCTACATATTTAAATTTAGCATTCAAAAATGAGAAATATGTGGTGGCCTTATTTCTGAGTTTGGGTGACCTCACTCCAAATGATTGTTGTTAGCTCCATACATTTTCCTGTGAATTTCATAATTTATTTTTTTTAGCAGTTGTAAATGTTTCACACTTTCATTATCCATTCATCATTTGATGAACATTTAAGATGTTTCCATTTACTGAATGTTGTGAATAGAGCAGCAATGAACACAGATAAACAAGAATCTCTTTATAAGAAAACAGAGTCACTTGAGTATAAAATCAAGAGTAGGTCTATTTTAGGTTTTTGAGGAGCCTGCACAAATTTTTCCATAATGGCTATACCAGTTTGCACTCCCACCAGCAGTAAATAGGTGAGATGATCATGTAGTTTCTGTTCTTGAGTCTCTGTATAAGATGAATTGTATTTATTGATTTATGTCTATTGAACCATCTCTGGGTGAAACCGACTTGATACAATCTCTTTACTAATATATTTTTGAGGCTTTCACCTGAGACTTTTTATTTGACTTTCTGAATTTTGTATTTTGAGGCTCTTTACATTATATTGTAATGTAATGTTTATTACATTACATTTTAGTATTTTGAATTGTTTTTACTACTTTTTAAAACTGTTTATAATCTTGTGATCTTCATTTCATAATTTATTCATATACCCATTGAGTCCCTTGAACATGACTATTTTTGCTACTTTTAAACCATTGTTTTGTGCATCGTCTGAGCTGATGCTCTCAGGGAAAATTACTTTTGGAGCACTAACTTCTGAAGGAGATATATTATCTTGTTTATTCATGTTGCTTTTGTTTTTATGATGGGACCTAGCATCTGGAGTTAGGTCATTGGTAGTATTCCTTGATACTAATATCTGGTTTCCCCTTTTTGAGTGGGTATTTGCATCTTTCATTGCCATTACCCTGGTTTTTCAGGTTATTAACTAGTTGACTGTGGCTTGAGGTTCAGTCTTGGGACAACTCAGTGTTGTGGTTCAAATGGGTCCTGGCTCAGCTAGGGTTGAGTGAAGCTTCTGAGAGCACAGGAGCAGATCTTCTGTAGAGTTAGTCACACCTTGGTCACCTGAGGGATGTGTACAGAACTTATCTTTGGTCACCGTGATAGCAGCATAAGTCTGTGCTTTCCACCTAGAGTTATATTCTTCTTTTTTCCTACCCCCTTTCTATTCCTCCTTTCCATCTTCTTTCCTGTCCTCCTTCATCTCTCCCTATCTCCTTTTCTTTTGATTTTGTTCATAATTTTAAGTTAAGGAACGACTGTGAAAGAGCTAGTAAAATATCAAGTGCACAGAAACATTCTGAATTGTCGCTGTCTAAATTCGTAAGACAATCTCATTAAGGTTGTGTATGGAGAATGATTCATTTTTCCATTCGTATAATACATTCCTAGCCTTAAAGTTGTTCAGCCAAAAGGATGGGATTATATCTGTAGTTGATTAATAATTCTTATTCCATAGATACAGTTTAATCTGATTGGAGATACATCACAATTTTTTATAGTGATTCATAATTCTGGCATTTAAAATGTTTGAGTTTATCTTATAATTTTTATTGTCAACAATATATAATTAAAAATTTCTATTTGAATTGCCCACATGTACCTACAGGAAGAAAAGAATTTGAACATTAATTTATTCCATATGAACCTAATGGTTAAATATGTACTTTTAAATTAGACATATATGACTATCCACACATTTACCTTCATAAATCTCTAGCTTTGAAGGATAAACATATAGGAAGCATAATTAAATAAATCTAAGAAAGATGAAGTTTACCTATATATTTTATTCAGTATTTCTAATTTAATATCATAATATATCACAGCCTTATGCTGCACTCCCCCTGCAGATTGAGCAGTTATAACAGACATTTTTTTAAAAAAATCATAGATGTAACAAGCACATATCACATTTCTGCAGTGATCTTATGAAAAAAATCCCACTATAATAAGATATCAATGTAAAACAAGAATAATGGTAAGAAACAAGGTGTGGATTCATCAGTTTTATAACACAACAACTTTGAGTTTCCACTGAAATAAATACAAATTAGCTCTACCCCACACTTTTTTTTAAAAATGATACTATTTTGTTTGTTTTTTTGTGTTTTATGATACTACTTATTAATTTAAAATTGAAACAAGCTTTTTTTCACATATCAATCCCAGTTGCTTCATCATACCCTCCTCCCCTGTCCCCCTAACCCTCATCCCATCCCCTTTCTGCTCCCCACGGAGGGTGAGGCCTTCCATGGGGATCTTCAAAGTCTGTCATATCTTTTGAAGCAGGGCCTAGGCCCTCACCCATGTGTCTAGTCTGGGAAAGTATCCATCTATGTGGAATGGGCTCCCAAAATCTATGTGTACCGTACACTAGGAATAAATACTGATCCTCTACCAGAGGCCCCATATACTTCCCAGTTCTCCTAAACAACACCTACATTCAGGGGGTCTGGGTCAGTCCTATGCTTGTTTCCCAGCTACCAGACTGGAGTCTGTGAGCTCCCCCTTGTTCAGGTCAGCTCTTTCTATGCTCTACCCCACACTTTATCACATGTTTTAGTAGATCATATGTTGCATATCATATAACCTGGAATCTGTGCATCTAGGATGATGCTTTTCTGTATAATGAAGAGACATGTTTGATGCTTGTTTTGACATCTTTCCAAATTTGGGAAGTTCTTTAACTTGACAACCTATTTAGACAAAGACCAGCAACATTCATTTTATGACCTGTGTGTTGGTCGGATGGGTGTACTGCTCACTCTTAAGGGTCTGGATTCTGTTTAACATGACAGTGGCACTTAAAATAGGAACAGAGTGCCCGGTGTTTATGTGGCTTGCAGTTCCTCTTCATCAGGTTTGAAGAAAACTGCCTCATAATATCGTAGGAAGATTTTATGGGAAAGTTACTCAATTTGGACCTTACAGTATTGATTAGGCTGTGCACAGAACAGAAATATTTTTTTTAAAAAAATAGGAATAGAGGTTAACTGAGACTTAGAGATAGAGAAGAGAATTTTTAGCCATGCATATTCCAAGACTTTTACAAAATGATGTAGATAATACAGTGTGATATTAAAGTAGGAAGGATACAAGAAGGAATAATGGAAGTTACACAGTGAAGGTCACCATGGTAGGTCTTTAAATTCCAGGACACTGTCAAGCTTCAGTTTATGCCATAGAAAATGATACGTGTATTTCCATACTTTGGAAGGTGATGCTTTTATCTGCTGAGAGGATAAGATACAATAGATTTTCAAATAGTATTAATTCTGTGAATTGGAACGAGAGCTTATGGTAAGAGGAACATAAAAAGCCTTGAATTTGAATAGGAGTGGACAACAGAAGGAATTGAAGGGGTGTGTAAATACAGTACTCATATGGGAAATCTTCAAAAAAAAAAGTTTAAAACTCTTAAATTTTTTAAATGAAATGAGCTATGTCAACAACAGACAGTTGAGGGAAGATGAATAAAATTTGGTGTTTGGTAGAGTCCAAGGAAAGAGATGCCTGTGATGGTGAGCAACATGGATTCCTCAAGTATCTTTTACCCTTTGACCAACAACATAATGGGACACAGCCTTATGTAGAACTAATTTGTATTCAATTCAATGGGAAGTTAAAAATCTCTTCAAACCTGGTATACATGTTGTTGCTTAGCATTGCTGTTGCCTGGTGTGTGACAGAGCCTGAAGTGAGAAAATTCACCGCAGTTCATTATGGTGTGCAGTAGATTGACTGTTGAAAGTGATACACACCCAGGTGCATGGGGATGTACAGGGGTCCGGGTTCTGGGAATACCTTACCTTTTTTTTTTTTTTTTTTTTTTTTTGTTCAGGACTTTGGAGGTGTCTTTTTTTCAGAAGGGTCTGAGCTTACTACTTAGAGACACTTTAACCATTGTAGACTTTTGTTTAGGAAATACCTCTGGTCAGTGGGTGGCAGTATTGCACAGTAGACAGTGCCCAGACTATGTGGTCAGAACAGTTGTCAAACCCTAGAACCATGCCTGCTCCTTTATCCCAAAGTTTCCAGCCCTGTCTTTAGAGTTGCTTGATGTTTCCTTTGAAATATAGATTCCCATATTATAACAGTTAGAGATTCTGATTCAGTCAGTCTGGGATGGGATCAGATGTAAGGGTATGTTTTAACACGCAAGGTTATTTTGAGAGTTGGCTAATTGTGGAATTTGATCTTTTTGAGGTTTCATTTTCATAGCATTGTTGTGAACCTTACATAAGGAAAATACACAAGTCTAAAATAACCTTTTCTTCCACTTTCAAATATGCCATCATTTCTCATCTATTTGAAACTTGAATAAAAGAAATTGTATAGCAGAAAGAAAACTGGTGAATTTATCCAACATAATAGAGAAAATATAGTATGAATTACTTAATACTGAATAGACAGTAGAAAGTACAAATCCTTTGCTTCAGTTTTAATTTTTTAATTATTTTTTAGATTATAATATAAATAATAAATAAATATTTCCACCTTCCCTTTCTCCAAGCTCTCCCATATACTCCCCCCGTTCTATTTCAAATTAATGGCCTCTTTTTCATTAATTGTTGTTACACACATATTTATATATAAATTTAGAAACACACATATATAAATTCCTAATTTTACACAAATGCAACATGCCTGATCTGTATAATGCTACTTGTATGTATGTTTTCAGGGGTGACCATTTGGCATTGAATAAATAATTGGTATTTTCTTCCCTGGGTAAAACTATTTCTCCCACTCTTAGCATCCTTAGTAGTTCTTCGTGTAGGCTTCCTAAACTTCCCCTTGTCCATTTCAGCATGTATATTGCTGTCCTTGTTTAATTTTTTTTTAAATCAGAGTTTAAAAACATACTGGAATTAAAATAGTTATAAAACAGAAGATATCTCTCTATATTTTAATATAAAGCTCACATTTATTTTTGACATGGTGATAATTTAATTTACAAATGTGCTGTGACTTCTTAGTTTTAAGGAAAATAGCTTATGTTAAATACACAATTATCCAAACCAAATATAATTAAATAAACAAGTAACAAAATTCTTTGTGTCAGTATAATAGCAACTGCTATTTACAATACATATTTTGGACTGACCATCCACAGAAAGGAGACTGCAAGAGTTCAACACAATCTACACAACAACATGTAGCATACATGTCTGCTGTTCTTGAAGCTTATAGAACATTGCAATCATTCTCAAACAAATTATTCATAGTTTCTGTGTTGCCAGTCAGCTGACCTTCCCAGTTCTCAGGGTGTTCTGATAGAGTCCCACTGTATCTTATGACAGAACCACAGCATCTCCTTCCATGTGTCTCTCCACGATCTTCTTGCTGATGCTTCCTCAAGTCTCTACCACATGACTTCCACGTTAATCCATTTTGAGTCATTTGTACTTCCGCTGGGCCTGCTGAGTCACCAAAGCAGGCCAAGTTAATCACACAGGCAGGGTCACCGGCATGTTCCTTCTGTCCTTGATATCATCTTTAAATTCCTGCCTGCCAGGAACTACTCACTTTAAGCTATTAGCCTGGAGGTCATTTAGAAGATTTAAGTAAATATTTGATTTCAGGAACCGGGGGTAAGAATCCTTTTCCATAAGTGTGTATATGACTTTTTGTGCTTCATCAAAAGATGAGGGGGTTGGTGCTTTAATCTTCTTGGCTGTAGATTCTCGAGTACGAAAGTCAATATTGATCTAAAAAGAAAAGAAATATTTGTTAATCAATGTGCACTTGCTGTTCATGATACATTTTGTTATGTTATTGGTGTTTCAGGTACACCTTAAGAAAACGGTTTACATTCTTGTTTAAATCATTCCAAATATGTCTTGATTTGCTATTCTAAGCCAGCCCTACACTAGGTGTATGAAAGCTACAAAAGAATACAACAAAAAGAGGTTTTTCTTTGTGCATCTGTTTATGGTGTAGTTGGGAGAAAGAAAATAGACATGAAAAAACTTAAATATCAATAGAAAGTAATTCATATACCAAAACAGAGTATCATGAACACTGAATGGGAGTATTTTCCTGGAAGATCAACACTGCTAAGTAGCTGCACATGTCTTTGCTGCTTTGATTGTGTATTACAATAGTCTATATTTTATCCTTATGTGAGTTACAACAATTCACTTAGGGTTCTTTAGCATATCAGTCTGGCCTGTATCACCTCATCCATTTGCCACACCATCAAGTTGGACAGTTTTGAAAAATCAGTAATTTTCATATCTGTACCAATATTTTTACAAATATAGGGAATGGCCCCTGCACTGAACATACAAATGAACAAACCTGTTTATCGCTAAAACCATCAGTCTAACTTGTGCACCGAATGCTATTTCTCTATTGACAATGATTTTACTACTCACTTGTTTCACAGCATCTGAATGCACAAATGCTTTGTATATATTCTCTGCTTTGCTACTCAAAAGATCAATCTCCGTTTTCTTATAGTCTTCACAAGCCAACCAGAATTCAATATTTTCTTCACTGAATTCAGACTTTAGAAAATTTCCAAAGACACTTTGACCAGCTAAAAAGATAGAGGTTGAGTAAATTAATTGAGTCAGTAAATGAATATATTATAGAAGACATTTATAAGCAAGTTCTACTATTACTATATGTACAAAGGTATGAGATGGTGACTGATAAAATATTACAGGCAGCCTCAGAGATTCTGTTATGTATGGAAGAGGAATCTGGTACCAGACAGCCTTGTTCAGTCTGGCACTGCTTCGTGTATTCATGTAAATGTGCTTTGCTTCCTGACGTATTTAGATTGAAACTGAGCTTTGCTGATTATAGAACAATGGGATTAGACACCAACATCTGAGCAAAAGTGTAGTGTGACTTTTTTTTTTTTTTTTTTTTTTTTTTGGCAAGGAAATGTCAATGACTGAGGCTATTAACATCATGTTGAAAATTAAAAATATAATATCCTCATCCAAACGATGGTAGTCAGCTAATGTTAGGTCTACATGTTACCTGTATGCTTGGTACAGTGATTACATTTGATAGTGTGATTGAGATTTATATGCCATTTCCTCAGTGAGCTAAACTGTAAACTAAGTCTTGTAATCACATGATCAAAGTATGCTGGATTTCTTAGAGACCCAAGTAATTTTCCTTAGTGTCTTTCTGTGGAGAAGAGGCTGAACTTACTCTTGAGATCAAAACTGCACTTCTGAATAAAGTACTAACCCTAATAGCATCTCAAACCTATGATGGGGGAGAGGAACTGATTTCATTCTTTTCTTTCTTTCATCAGAACCCCTCCCCCCCACACACACGAGCTTCTCATGAGCTTACCTATATTAAAATATGTATCATACTGCATACTTTCAGTATGTATAAAGTGTGACCCAAACATCTTTAAGGCAGTAATGAACTGTGCCTTTGCCTTTGAATCCTTGTTGCCTTTAAAATACCTTCCACATAAGGTGGATGAATGAAAGTTCATAGGTATGTGGATGATAGAATACTATTTAAGAAAACTGCATAAAGTACATTTTAAATACCTTTCAAAATAGTAATTCATATGACATTTGTCTTTTAAAATTTTGAAACTGCAGAATAATTTTATTTTGATTTTTGAAGGCTTATGTTCTTCATGAGTATATGTGTGTGGCCCCTTCCCTGTCTCCATGTAGGAGCAGCTGTGGGCAGGTACCCATAGAGGCCAGAAGAGGGCATCAGATCCTCCAGATCTGGAGTTACAGGTAGATGGTTGTGAAGCAAGCATTGTGAGCACAGGGAAACAAAGTCTTGAAGAGCAGCAAGTACTCTTGACCAATCAGTCATCTCTGCAGCAACCCAGCATAATTTTAGTTTTGTTTTTGAATCTGGCAGATTTGTCTAAAAGTCAGTGGTAAAAATCTAGTGCTATATTACAAAGTCATAATGTGATGAAATTACTAATGAACATAGAAAAACACAAGTACTACTTTTTGCATACTCTCCTCCCTTCCTTTGATAATATACATTAATCATAATCCAATCTACTAAATTGTTGAGCTGACCCCAAAACAATGGATAATTAATGAATACTTACTCTGGTTGGCAAGTAGTTTTTCCAGAGACTGAGACCACTGCATTACTTCCTCAGCAGAAAGTCTATAATTAATATAAAATGACATAAATTAATAAATCAGTGTGTGTAATCCCAAATGAAATAATAATGGTTGCTACCCTTTGATGACTAAAGATTCTCATTATAATGAGTTCTATTATGCATTTTATATACAAAATCCCTTTTAATTACTTTAGTTATGAAAAATCTTTCAAGACAGCTAAAAGAATCCAAGTAGATAAAATAGAACAATACAAACATGAATAGAAAATTGTTGGGACATATTTGTAATTAATATCAATTGACTCTACTGTAGCCTAACCTTGTTTGTCATATTACCTAAAGTAAATGAAGTTCATTCTATGCATTATTTTTTGTATGCTTTTTTTTTTAAAAAAAGAACAAGTCTTTACTTTAGCTCTGGCTGGCCTCAAACAAGTGAAAATTCCTCTGCCTCAACCTCCCAAGTGCTGGGATTACATGGCTGAGCCACAATGCTAATTATCATGCAAAATCAGTATCTTGCAAAGAGACTGTCAACGTCTAAGATGCTTATACAGTTATAACATTTCAATACATTTAGTACATACATGTCTTTGGATTTGGATGATTTCATTCCAGACTCCAGATGTGGGATCATAGATCTCAGATATGCTTTCATGTCCATTCCACTACAAAAGATAACAAAAATTCATAAATCTATAGGAAAGCTTACTTTATTTATAAAAGAAAAGCAACACAAAGCAAACATATCTGAGGATGAAGGTAAAATGAAACATAAATGACACAATATTTTGCTGTTTTAAATGGACCTTATTTTTATGAGTCAGCCACTGTCTTGTAGCATGTTTTATTTTAGGATAAAACTTAATCTCACTTATAATTCACAACAGATAATTGCTAAGATCTGCATAAACTAAATGCCGGCATTCACTTCCATTCATTCATACACCCTTAGTCGTAAAAGATAACGTCAGTGAGACACTGAAGAAACTTACAAAGTCTTTGGTCTCTTTTTTTGCGTTTTGTCATCTAGAAGTGAATGGCTAGGTTCTTTCAAATCCTTTGGGCCAGCAGAGAAGAACATTCCTGGCATTTTGTCCAGCCTTGGCATGGAGATGGCTGCAGCTCTCATGGTCTTCTCGCAATGAGTGTCTGTTAGTTCCGTCTGATGCTTTATATAGTGTAGGCGGACAGGCACTTGCTGTTCAGGGAGTCTGTTTATCAAGTGATGTTACCACAGACACTGGAAGTTCCGCCTTTCTTGGTGTGTTGTGACGTGTATCTTGAAGAAAAAAAAGTGCACAGTGATGTCTTGTGGTTGAAACCCAACCAAATGAGAGCAGGTCATTTGATTAGGAAGGCACGAAGAAAATTACACACACTCACATCGAGGAGGGCACATGTCTGGAGCAGCAGCGTCAGCCTTGGTTTGAGGGATTGTCTGCTTCTTCCTGAAAACCGTTATGTTCTGATCATTTACTACATTTACTGTGTCATGTGGAAATTCAGCATTACAATTGTATCTTCTTCTATGCCTTGGGTAGTTCTTAACTATAAACTCATCTGATCATTTTTTTTCCTTTTTCAAGAATTGAAAATAGATTTTATTTTTTACACAATTTATTCTGATTATAGTTTCCCCTCCCCAGGTCCTCCCAGATCCCCTACTGTCCCACCCACCCTAATCCACACTCTTTCTTTGTCTCTATCATTAGAATACAGGCATCTAAAAGAATGCCACAAAATAAGAGCAAACAAACCAGAACAGTCCAAACAAACAAACAGAAGAGAAAGAGCCAAAGAAAGGGCACAAGAAACACATATAGGCACAGAGACATATTCACACACACAGAAATCCCATTGAAACCACAAAACCTGAAACCATATTATATACACAAAGCTCCCAACCCATAGATAGAGAAGCATTCTGCTGCAGTAGATGGTAACAAATACAAAGATCCACAGCTGGAGAATTAATAGAGAGTGAGAGACTTTGGAACACTCAATCCTAAAAGGGGTGTCTTCATCAGATACCTCCTTCGGGAGACCTTGCAGAGGTGGGAAGATTGTAAGAGCCAGAGGGGCTAGAGAAACCAAGGAAACAAGACCTAAACACAGCATGACTCATACACATATGAACACATGTAGACTGTGGTAGCACAGTGCCTGCATAGGTCTGGGCCAGATAGGGTTCCAGTGTCTAGAGGGGAAGTGAACACACATCCTCCCCTAACCCAGAAGTTATCTTGAATTGATAACCTCTCACAAAAGAACAATTAGTTTCTCCAATGGAGTCTCACTGTCAGTGCAAAACACTTGTAAGAGTAGGCCCCATTCCCAACAGTATATGAACTTAATGGCATTTTTGGAGGTACTTTTTGTATTATAATGATTTTTTCAGCTTTTTTTCTTCCTTCTTTTTTTTTTAAAAATAAATTTCTGTTTAATTTAGAAACAATCTTATTTTACATATCAATCCCAGTTCCCTCTCCCTCCCATCCTCCCATGCCCTTCACCAAATCCCCATCTCACCCCTATTTACTCTCCAGGGAGGGTGAGGCCTTCCATGAGGGATTATCAAAGTTTGTCACATCATTTGGGGCAGGGCCTAGGACCTCTCCTGTGTATCTATGCTGAGAGAGTATCTCTCCATGGTGTAATGGGCTCCCAAAGTCTGTTCTTGCACTAGAGATAAATGCTGGTTCCACTGTCAGAGGCCCTATAGACTGCCTAGGTTTCCTAACTGACACCCACATTTAGGGTGCCTTGTTTGATCCTATACATGAGGGATCAGGAAGATTGAGTTGGGGGAAGCAAGAAAAGAGATACCTTAATAGAGGGTGCCATTACAACTTTAAAGAGGAATATGGCACCAGAGAAATGTCCAGAGTTCCACAAGGATGAACCCAACTAAGAATCTAAGCAATAGTGGAGAGGCTATCTTCTTCTTTTTTTTTTTTTTTTTTTTTAACCTTACTGATCACACTATTTTAAGAGTTCATCACCACTACCCACAGGAAGCAGAATAAGCCTGACACTTTTTATCTGATTATTCTGCATCTATATGGCAGGAAAGAGATCTATGGGAGGCTGTCTTCACCTTGTACTGTCTGGACTCTTACCCATCATTTCCATGACATGGACATTTTTGTTATAATTTTATAAGGTACATATAAGATATTCTACCAGGGATACGTAAGTTGACCTTAAGGAGCACACCCTTTTTAATGTTATTTTAATAATTAGAGTATAAATAATGTGCCAAGTTGCAACTGTATGTTAATAATTAAGAAGAGGGCACAGTAAAATTAAAACAAAACCTATAGATAAAAGTGTAGTTCACATACAGACATTGCATAATACATAAAAATACCATTCTTAAAAACCACAATATCTGAAGAAAAACCCAAGGGAAAGTCGGTCTGTTTGGATAAATCCGTCATTTGTAGTAGTTAGGAGAAAATAATTGAATTTTTGACAATGTCTCTGGAGACATTTAGTCCAGCTTCAATTGAGATTGTGATTACATTAGAAATCATTACTTATTTGACAAATTACTTTTCAGAGTAGAAATATTAATGTAATATAAGATCTTATAGAGTTTATACGGGATGTATGGCATTTTATAGGGTAGTCAATTTAACTTTGGGCAGATTGAATTTGCCTCTGAATAGGTGGCCTTTATTAGAGAGTTTTCTGATGGAAATTAGGCAATGAATGACTGTTTTGTGCACTGGTATCACCTGATGTTCAAAAGATAACATGATTCATTTAAGAACAAGAGGTAGTGAGATGAGCTGGCCACTTTGAAAATGACCCAAACAAAACCGATAGGGCTGTGACACATGACGCAAAGATGTGTTTGTTTACTTCCTGAGGTCCAGCTCAGACTGACTTTCTGTTAAAATCTTCACCATTTCTCCTGTTTGTTTATTGATAACCTCTCACTTCTGTAGATAACAGTGGGCAAGTTAAACTTGAGAAACACAATTTAAAGATTGTTTTAATAAACCATTACTACTGTTATCAAAATATTTTGGCAATGCCCAAAGAATGATTTTGCAAGAACTGTTCCTTTGGATGTTATGAATGTTAGAAGAAACAATAACAGCAGCAGAGGTTATGGCACCAGACTTGCTTGTGACCTGTTAGATTTTTGCTGTTTTGAGGAACCATGCCTTTTTTTAGAGAAGGAAAGTGTGTTTTTGTTTAGTTAATTTTACTAACGTGATATAAAAGGTAATGGGTCTCACTATGTCATTTCCACATATTGTTCTCTTTGCGTCTCCTCCTTCATCCCTTCCTTTTCCTCACACCTTCTCCCACGTTTCCCTTTTCTCTCCTAACAAAACCTCTTCTGCCTTTATGGCAAGTGCATTCTATTGGCTTGCTTTTTCTCTCCCCACTCCATATTGAGATCTCATTTCTTCTTTAGGCTTTCTTTTTTTTAGCCTCCTGACTCTGGTGCCCATGGGCATGCATGAAAGCACGTACACACAGACAGACACACACGTGGACACGCATACAACACACACACACAGGCACAAATACATACACAGATACAAAGCACACACACACAAACATACACACACAACACATACACAGATAAACACAGACACACACACAGACACACACACAATCAACATGTGAGAGAGAAACATCCATTCTTTGTCTTCCTGAGTATGTATTTTGTTTACCAATAATTTCTGTCTATTTCCCTTCACATGTTGTTTTATTTTTCCTTATGGCTGAATGAAGTTCCATTGTGTATATGTGTAACGTTTTCTTGATCCATTCACCTGTTTTTGCTCATCTAAGATGCTTCCATATTTTATCTATTTTGAATAGTTCATCAATAAATGGTTGTGCAAGTATCTCTGTGGTGTGTTGACTTGGAATTCTTTGAGTATATGACTAGGAGTGGGATTGCTGTGTCTTATGGTAGTTCTCTTTTAAGTTTATTTTTTAAACTTCCATACTGACTTCCACAATGAGTTTATTATCCCACTAACAATAAGGAGACATTCTCTTCCCCCCACATTTTCCCAGTATTTTCTATCATATCTTTTCTTGATAATAACCAAGCTGAATATCATAAGATGGAATCTCAAAGTAATTTTAGTTTACATTTTCTGAAGGAAGGGTGTTGTCCAAAATAGGTTTTTATAAAAAGAACCCTTTTGACACCACATTAAGAAACTGAGAAAAAAATTTTACTTCTTATGTATTAAGGAATGCCATTAATACTTCCAACATATTTTTATTGCAGCAGAATTGTTTAAGCTTGACCATTGGCAAATAATTGTAATGGCTTTCCTAAGCTCAAATATTAAAATAAGTTCTTGAAAGAGGGGATCCATCTGAATTCCTGAATCAAAAATGGCAATGGAAACAACTCCTTTAATGAAGGCCTCTTGTCAGCCCATACAAAGTCTATACATGTCTTAATCAGGCAGATTGGTCCAGGAATATCAGAAATGACTGAGGAATACTAACAAGGCCCTGAAGATTCTCTTTCAATCTCATATACTGCTACAGTCAGGTCTTTCTTAATAAAATTCATCAAAAAATAGAAAAACTGCCAAGTAATTTCACTGAGTCAATAAGTGTGTTTGAGACAGAGATTTCACAAAAACCAATAGAAAAATAAAAAAAAAGAGCTGTGGCTTTCAGAAGTTTTCTCATATTTACCCCTTCTCTGTGAAATTGTCCTTAAATAACCAGGTGTGAATCTTAAGAAAAGAAATACTTAATGTAGTCTTAGTGTTTTCTGTTTGTTAAACAATGTGCTAATTTTTAGAGCTATGTTAGATTCACAGTAATATTGAATAAAGGGAAAGAGATCCCATCCCCTACCCTGTCCCAAACTCCACCACCATCACCACTCCTCGTTAGTGTCATTCTTACAACCAGTAGACCTGCACTGGATGTTGTTGTCATCCAAAGTGCATCATTGACACTAGTGCTCACTGTGGATGCAGCATATTCTGAGGGCTTTAACATGTGAATGGTGATGCACATTTGCTCTCATGACATTATTACCATGGCTTCCTTTCTCTCAAAATACCAGTTTGTGTGGGTTTCTATTTAGAGACAGGGTCTCACGTACACGAGGTTGGTTTTGAGCTAGATAACTGTGTCTCTGAGGATGGCTTTGAGCTTCTGGTACTATTGCCTCTACCTCC